TGGCTTTGAGCTGAGGCCAGGAAATTCCTTCCTTATCTGGTTGAAAACTGGCTTCTCTGGCTTGAGCTGAGGCTAGAAATTCCTTCCTTCTCTGGTTGAAAACTGGCTTCTCTGGCTTGAGCTGAGGCCAGGAAATTCCTTCCTTCTCTGGTTTAAAACTGGCTTCTCTGGCTTGAGCCGAGGCCAGGAAATTCCTTCCTTCTCTGGTTTAAAACTGGCTTCTCTGGCTTGAGCCAAAGCCAGGAAATTCCTTCCTTCTCTGGTTTAAAACTGGCTTCTCTGGCTTGAGCCGAGGCCAGGAAATTCCTTCCTTCTCTGGTTTAAAACTGGCTTCTCTGGCTTGAGCTGAGGCCAGGAAATTCCTTCCTTCTCTGGTTTAAAACTGGCTTCTCTGGCTTGAGCCGAGGCCAGGAAATTCCTTCCTTCTCTGGTTTAAAACTGGCTTCTCTGGCTTGAGCCAATGCCAGTAAATTCCTTCCTTCTCTGGTTTAAAACTGGCTTCTCTGGCTTGAGCCGAAGCTAGGAAATTCCTTCCTTCTCTGGTTTAAAACTGGCTTCTCTGGCTTGAGCTGAGGCCAGGAAATTCCTTCCTTCTCTGGTTTAAAACTGGCTTCTCTGGCTTGAGCCGAGGCCAGGAAATTCCTTCCTTATCTGGTTGAAAACTGGCTTCTCTGGCTTGAGCTGAGGCCAGGAAATTCCTTCCTTCTCTGGTTGAAAACTGGCTTCTCTGGCTTGAGCTGAGGGCAGCAAATTCCTTCCTTCTCTGGTGTAAAACTGGCTTCTCTGGCTTGAGCTAAGGCCAGGAAATTCCTTCCTTCTCTGGTTGAAACTGGTTTCTCTGGCTTGAGCCGAGGCCAGGAAATTCCCTCTTTCTCTGGTTTAAAACTGGCTTCTCTGGCTTGAGCCGAGGCCAGGAAATTCCCTCCTTCTCTGGTTTAACACTGGCTTCTCTGGCTTGAGCCGAGGCCAGGAAATTCCTTCCTTCTCTGGTTTAAAACTGGCTTCTCTGGCTTGAGCTGAGGCCAGGAAATTCCTTCCTTCTCTGGTTTAAAACTGGCTTCTCTGGCTTGAGCCAACGCCAGGAAATTCCTTCCTTCTCTGGTTTAAAACTGGCTTCTCTGGCTTGAGCTGAGGCCAGGAAATTCCTTCCTTCTCTGGTTTAAAACTGGCTTCTCTGGCTTGAGCCGAGGCCAGGAAATTCCTCCCTTCTTTGGTTTAAAACTGGCTTCTCTGGCTTGAGCTGAGGCCAGGAAATTCCTTCCTTCTCTGGTTTAAAACTGGCTTCTCTGGCTTTAAAACTGGCTTCTCTGGCTTGAGCCGAGGCCAGGAAATTCCTTCCTTCTCTGGTTTAAAACTGGCTTCTCTGGCTTGAGCTGAGGCCAGGAAATTCCTTCCTTCTCTGGTTTAAAACTGGCTTCTCTGGCTTTAAAACTGGTTTCTCTGGCTTGAGCCGAGGCCAGGAGATTCTTTCCTTCTTTGGTTTAAAACTGGCTTCTCTGGCTTGAGCTGAGGCCAGTAAATTCCTTCCTCTCTGGTTTAAAACTGGCTTCTCTGGCTTTAAAACTGGCTTCTCTGGCTTGAGCCAAGGCCAGGAATTCCTTCCTTCTCTGGTTTAAAACTGGCTTCTCTGGCTTGAGCTGAGGCCAGGAAATTCCTTCCTTCTCTGGTTTAAAACTGGCTTCTCTGGCTTGAGACGAGGCCAGGGACCAGAAGAGCTGAATCATTTGTGACTCACTTCATGAGTCATAACAAAAATAGTGGAAAAAGCTTTGGAAGGGCAAAGAGACTTCCGGTTTTCTTAAAGACTTCAAAATTGCTTCAAAATTTTTTCCAACTTTATTCTGAATTACGAAGATTCCGACGGTACCTAACCATGCCTAACTGCCAGCTTGACTAATGCACAAGAGTGAAGCCAATCTTGCCTCCGAGCTGGAGTTCTAGGCATTTGCAGCAGAAGGCACCAGAGAACAAATCCCACCGGGCCTCTTCCGAAGGCTCTCTGTTCTGCTAGAATTGAGACATGGCATCAAATCCAAGCCCAAGGCAGAAGCAAATAAAGTCAACCTCCTATTTCCAGCTCACATGGAATAGTTCAGTGGGGGGCCTCTGGAGCTAGGTTTGCTGCCTTCGGGCAGAAGAGAGGAGATTCCCTCCATCTCTGTATCTTTAGTATATTCCCTCGAACACTTGTGGCACGCCTGCATTCCCAAGAGGAACGTGCCGCCCGATTGGAGAGGGATTCAATAATGTGTGATTTATCTACAAACTCAACCTGCATTTTGCAGAGTTTGGAGGGGGGAGGGGGCTAGAAGGGAGGTATGCACACACGGCGCATTGAAAAAAAATCTATATATAACATAGCTCCAGGAAAGCCTTCCATTTTCAACTCCCTTTGGTGAAGCATAAATGGATAAAATGCTCACCATTTGATGGGTTTCCAGCTAATCGTACTTGACTGCAGGAAGTTCAAGGCATTAAAAAGGAAAGGAAAAATGTTCCAAACAACGGCCTCCCTGAGCGCCTAGGAAGGCATGCTTTCTCCAACTATGGAGATGTCGGTGAGGCTGAGATTTTTCAAAACAAATGGAGATTTTGATCCAAGAAGACCACAGTTGCATAGGAACAGAAAGCTGTAAATGTGTCATTTCCTTCACCCTCAGTTTGCCCCCAACTATACAATATCTTATGCTGGGAAGCAGGGCATGTGGATTACAGTTCCTATCAACCATAGACACCACCACCAATGGTGGGGGACAGGAGATATGAGGGGCGTTCATTAAAGATTTCCCCTGACCCACTTCTATTTATCACAGGATGGTGAAACGGCACATGTGTAATGATATAAGTCTCTATAGGTGTTATGCCAATTTACAACTCAAAACTGATAACGGTCTTGATGTGACAGGTGCTGAAGAGGGTTGGATCACTCTATACATGTCAAAGAAACTATAAAAGTCTATGGAGTATATCCAACAAAATGGTCATCAGGGAAAGATTATGATCTGAATGTCTATCCCATTCTACCAAAACAGCAACCCAAGAGGTAAACAGTAATGTTCAATGTATTGTCGAAGGCTTTCATGGCCGGAATCACTGGGTTGTTGTAGGTTTTTTCGGGCTATATGGCCATGTTCTAGAGGCATTCTCTCCTGACGTTTCGCCTGCATCTATGGCAAGCATCCTCAGAGGTAGTGAGGTCAGGAGAGAATGCCTCTAGAACATGGCCATATAGCCCGAAAAAACCTACAACAACCCAATAATGTTCAAGTTTTTCCAAAATGCAAATTTGAGTACTAATCTGCACTCTAGAGGAGATTCCATCTGAACATGAGGAAGAACTTCCTGACTGTGAGAGCCGTTCAGCAGTGGAACTCTCTGCCCCGGAGTGTGGTGGAGGCTCCTTCTTTGGAAGCTTTTAAACAGAGGCTGGATGGCCATCTGTCAGGGGTGCTTTGAATGCAATATTCCTGCTTCTTGGCAAGGGTTGGACTGGATGGCCCATGAGGTCTCTTCCAACTCTTTGATTCTATGATTCTATGATTCTATTATTCTCTAGACTTAATGTAGTTTGATACTACTTTAACTGCAAGGGCTAATGCTATGGAATCTTTGGATTTGTAGTTTGGTGAGCTGACACCTTTTATTCCTTTTCTTTTCTTTTTGCAGAGACAGCTAAAGAACTTGTGAAACTACAACTCCCATGATTCCATAGCAGTTAATCATGCCAGTTCAAATGGCAGGCTCAAACCCAGAACCTCAACCAATGGCTGATACCCAATGAGAGACTCTCCCCTGGGCACACAGAAAACTGGGCGACTTGGAAGGCGCTGAACAGACTGCGCTCTGGCACCACGAGACGCAGAGCCAACGTTCAGAAATGGGGCTACAAAGTGGAATCCACGACATGCGAGTGTGGAGAAGAGCAAACCACTGACCACCTGCTGCAATGCACCCTGAGCCCTGCCACATGCACAATGGAGGACCTTCTTGCAGCAACACCAGAGGCACTCCAAGTGGCCAGATACTGGTCAAAGGACATTTAATCAACTACCAAGCTTGCAAATTCTGTGTTTTGTCTGCTTGTTTGTTTTTGTTGAAAATGTAATACAAAGTCTGGTTGCCGATGACACGATAAATAAATAGCTGAAGTACAGTAAATTAATATTTTAATAGGCTGCTGAGACGGTTGAGCAACAACCCCTCACAAACTCATACCCATGCCAACATAAAGGCAGATCAGATAGCACACCAACTCTTGAAGATGGGAAACCCAACCTTGCCACCAAAGTAGGAAAGAAACCAATAGCCAGACAACAAGAGATTGAGAACAACAACCTTCCTGAACCCTTTACATCTACTGAATTGGACATGGCTCTCAATAAATGTAAGAATGGCAAAGCAGCTGGCTTGGATGATCTACGGATGGAACAAATCAAGAACTTTGGCCCAAAAGCAAGACGCTGGCTGCTGGAGCTGATGAACAACTGCACTGCATCCTGTCAGATCCCCAAAATCTGGAGGAAAGCAAGAGTCATCGCCATCTTGAAGCCAGGCAAAGACCGTAATGACCCAAAAAGCTACAGACCAATCTCCCTGTTGTGCCACTTTACAAAGTTCTGGGGAGACTTATTTTGCATAGAATTACGGAAAAAAATAGACCCATGTCTGATCCCACAGCAAGCTGGCTTCAGGAAAGGCAAAAGCTGCACATCGCAAGTGCTGAACCTGACTCAGCACAAAGAAGATGGCTTTGAAAGGCAGCAGATCACAGGAGCTGTCTTCGTAGACCTGTCAGAAGCCTATGATGTTGTGAACCACCGCCTCCTCCTGAGAAAAATAAATAGTGGTGCATTAATTCTACAGCGCAGAAGCACCCCAATTCTCCTATGGCAAAGCATTCCAGAGTCTTGGAGCAACACAGCAAAATGCCTTCATCCATGACATTAGTGTTACCAAGCATATGGCAAAAGCGATGTCTTTAGCGTACCAATATCTCCTACCTCTCAACTCTCCTAGGTCCAGCGTCTTCCCTAGTTGCTCTAGCAAATCAGCCCGGGCTGCGTTCTTTTTGTGTTTTTTGCCGTCGTAGTGTTGCTGCGCCATCATGGGGTTGTTAAACCACGCCGCGCAAAGCTGGCAGTACCTGTCGGAGTCTCTTCTCTGGTGGGGCGGAGATACCACCGGCGAGTTGTCCACGTGGGGCTGCTTTAGGTTGCTCAGGTTGGTCTCTGCAAAAGGAAACAGCAAAGTAGGAGCATCATCAGGCGCAGACAATGCCATCCCTATTGCAACGTGGCATCCACAGGTTTCCAAGAGGCATTGTAGTGTGGCACATAGCATTTGCAGTTGGCCATGGGTGGAACAGAAAAGATGCCCACTCCTCCAAGATCTCATCGGTGAAATCCAGGAGACGTGTGACCAAACAACGTCAGAGAGTGGTCAAGATGGCAAACATTACTACAAAAGTTGCTTTTGCTTGCAAGGAAATGCCGCTTCCTGCCCACTCCTCCTATAATAATAATAATAATAATAATTATTATTATTATAATAATCATCAATATACATAAAAATGTAATGTTCATTTGTGGGATTAACAGAACTCAAAAACCACTGGACGAATTGACACCAAATTTGGACACAAGACACCTAACAACCCAATATATGTCCTTCACTAAAAAAAAATGATTTTGTCATTTGGGAGTTGTAGTTGCTGGGATTTATAGTTCACCTACAATCAAAGAACATTCTGAACCCCACCAACGATGGAATTGAACCAAACTTGGCACACAGTTCTCCCATGACCAACAGAAAATACTGGAAGGGTTTGGTGGCAGTGTCCTTTGGTTTTGGAGTTGTAGTTCACCTACATCCAGAGATCACTGTGGACTCAAACAATGACAGATGGCCATCCCGCCTCTGTTTAAAAGTTTCCAAAGAAGGAGCCTCCACCACACTCCGGGGCAGAGAGTTCCACTGCTGAATGGCTCTCACAGTCAGGAAGTTCTTCCTCATGTTCAGGTGGAATCTCCTTTCTTGTAGTTTGAAGCCATTGTTCCATTGCGTCCTAGTTTCCAGGGAAGCATAAAACAAGCTTGCTCCCTCCTCACTGTGGATTCATCTCACATATTTATACATGGCTATCATATCTCCTCTCATCCTTCTCTTCTTCAGGCTAAACATGCCCAGCTCCTCATAGGCCTTGTTCTCCAGACCCTTGATCATTTTAGTTGCCCTCCTCTGAACACATGCTTCTCAATATCTCTCTTCAATTGTGGTGCCCAGAAGTGGACACAATATTCCAGGTGTGGTCTAACCAAAACGGAATAGAGGGGTAGCATGACTTCCCTAGATCTAGACACTATGCTCCTATTGATGCAGGCCAAAATCCCATTGGCTTTTTTTGCCACATCACATTGTTGGCTCATGTTTAACTTGTTGTCCACGAGGACTCCAAGATCTTTTTCACACATGTACTGCTCTCGAGCCAGGCATCGTCCCCCATTCTGTCTCTTTGCATTTCATTTTTTCTGCCTAAGTGGAGTATCTTGCATTTGTCCCCGTTGAACTTCATTTTGTTAGTTTTGTCCCATCTCTCTAGTCTGTCAAGATCATTTTGAATCCTGCTCCTGTCCTCTGGAGTCTTGGCTCTCCCTCCCAACTTGGTGTCATCTGCAAACTTGGTGATCCTGCCTTCTAACCCTTCATCTAAGTCATTAGTGAAGATCCTGAGCAGGACCGGGCCCAGGACGGAACCCTGCAGATGGCACTCCACTCGTCACTTCTTTCCAGGATGAAGAGGAGGAAGCCTTGGGGAGAATCACCCTCTGGGTTTGTCCATTTAACCAATTACAGATCCACCTCACCATAGTTTTGTCTAGCCCACATTGGACTAGTTTCCTTGCCAGAAGGTCATGGGGGACCTTGTCAAAGAAGGTGTGCAGAAGTCATTGTTATTATGTTTGTGTTTAACTGTTAGAGTATGTATTTGTGTTTGTAACAGTAGCTAAAACTGGAGTCATCTGGTTTGAATCCACAGTGAGCGTTGCCAAGGAGACGAGGCTGGCTAGCTCATGAGAGGGAGAAGTGGGCGGAGCCAAGCAGGAAACGTTATGTGCGTTTTAAAAAAGGTAGAGAGTGAGGCTTGGAAAGGCCTGAGAGAGAGACTTGTGTGTGAGCGGCTGGTGTTTTATCAGTCTAGGAGGGCTGAAGAAAGAAACCTGGCCAGATTCTTTAGTCAAAAAAGACTAAAGGAAGCCTAGTTAAGATCCCTAGTTAAGGAAGGACTAGAGATCAGAGATTTGATCGAGGGAAGATCAAATTGAAAGGCTATTTATAGTAGTGAAACATTGTTCACTAGAGAGCTTCACCTCAGTGAAAGTTAGCCACAAGCTGTGTTATCTGGAAGAGTGGACTGTATTATAAACCACGTGATATTCAAAGTTCCATAAGTTATTTAACAGCCTGCAACCATAAGCTTTGTACACAATAAACTTGTTATCTTTTGTTGAAAACCGTCTCATCTCAACTAATCTGCGTCTGTAGAGCCAGATCTCATCGGTGGTACCTCAAATACCTCACATTGGTGGCAGTTACCTTAATTTACAAATAATAATTGGCCTCCTCCATAATATACTCTTCTACACAATTGAGGCCTGAGGTAAATTCCCTCCATAACATCCACATCTGTACAATTGGTGGCAGCGGTGAGATTAAAAAGTACCTGAGGTAAAATACCTCCATTATTAGGGCCTGCCGTTGCCAACCTCAGCAACACACAAGCACCTCCTCGCAATGGGTGATAGCGGTGGGGATCTTCAAAGACAAAATCCCTATACCTTGTCCATCGTTGAGTTCACATCTTCCCAGAAGGCCTTCCTGAAATCCAGACACGCTCCATCCACGGCATTCCCCGCATCTACCCAGCTTGTAACTCTATCGAAAAAAGAGATCAGATTAGTCTGGCATGACTTGTTTTTGATAAATCCATGTTGACTATTAGCGATGACCGCATTTGTTTCTAAGTGTTTGCAGACCACTTCCTTGACAATCTTTTCCAGAATCTTGCCTGGTATCGACGTGAGGCTGACCGGACGGTAATTGTTTGGGTCATCCTTTTTTTCCTTCTTGAAGATTGGGACCACATTGGCCCTCCTCCAATCTACTGGAACTTCTCCCGCTCCGGATGCAAACACTCAGTGTTTCCTTCTCGGCCTTTCTGTCAAATCCTCCTTTGCAACAAGAGATGGTTGTGAGCTCTGCAAATGAACTGTCTGTGCCGCGAAGAAGGGCTTCCCTTTACCGAGCTTGGCCTATCCAAGCGGATGCATGCAGGGTTCCTCTGCCCCGGAGAAGGTGTTTCATGCTTCACCAGCTCCCTCGTTGCCTTTCCTCACCCGGCCCTGGGCATCCGCCCTCTTCCGATAGGAATCCAGGCAGCGTTTCCAACAGGGTTCTAAAAAAGGAACCCAGTGCCAAGCCATACATATTTTTGACAGTTTAAAAGAAAACCAACGGTTCCCATTCTCCTCTTTCCCGGCTTCATGGATGATTTGTTGAAGCCGCAGAAGGCGCCTTGGGGTGTCTGGCACCTCGTAAATAAACAATTATTGTTACGCATCTGTATAAAAGCAGCAGCCGTTTTATTGTTAGGCAGCATATTGGACGTGTTGGTTTGCAAGGCCTTGGGCTACAAAGTGGAAGATTTCGTTCTCCTGGACGGAGTTCTCTTTGTTTATCGGTTTGCTCTTACTCGGGAGGTGACTGGGACAGAATCGCCTGACCGAGCAGGGAAACAACGTCAGGATTTATTTTGCGTTATGCTAGACAGTTTGAAAGATCCTAAAGCAGTGTTTCTCAACCTGGAGATTTTTCGAAGGCAGAAAGTGAAGGAAAGATGGAAACGTTTGGATCCCTAAAGGATTGGCCTTGATCAGGATGAGATGATGGACGGGAGGGAAAACGTGTATCCATTAGACCCCATATTGCCTACTCCTGATATAGAATCCTAGAGCTGGAAGAGACCCCCAAGGGCCATTCAGTCCAACCCCTTGCCATGCAAGAAGGCACAACCAAAGCACTCCCGATAGACAGCCTCTGCGGAAAAGCCTCCAGAGAAGGAGACTCCACCCCACTCCCAGGCAGCCTAGGCCACTCTCCAACAGCTCTCACTCTCAGGAAGTTCTTCCTCATCTTTTCAGTGGAATCTCCTTCCCAGCCATTTGAAACCATGACTCCCTTCTTGTGCCCCGGTCTCCAGAGAAGCAGAAAGTCCATTTTCTCCCTTTCTCCTCCTCCTCAATGGGACCCCTTTTGCAATCTTGAAACATGGTTCTCATGTTCCCTTTCTACCTTCTCTTCTCCCAGCTAAACATCCCCCAGGAGGAAAGAAGGAAGGAAAAAGAGAAGGAAGGGAGGGAAGGAAGGAAGGAATGGGTGGAAGGGAAGGGAGGAGGGAGGCAGAAAGAGGGAGGTAAGGGAGGGAGGGAAGGAGGTAGGTAAAAGGAAGGAAGGAAGGAAGGAAGGAAGGAAGGAAGGAAGGAAGGAAGGAAGAGAAAGGAAGGAAAAGAAAGGGAAAAGGAGAGGAAGAAGGAAGGAAGGAAGGAAGGAAGGAGAAGGAAGGGGAAGGAAGGAGAAGGAGGAAGAGGGAGAAAAGAGTGGAAGGGAAGGGAGAGGGAAGGAGAAACAGGGAGGTAAGGAAGGGAGGGAAGGAGAAGGAAAGGGAGAAGGAAGGAGAAAGAGAGGAGGAGAAGAGGAAGGAGGGAAGGAAGGATGAAAGGGTGGAAGGGAAGGGAAGAGGGAAGGAGAAACAGGGAGGTAAGGAAGGGAGGGAAGGAGGAAGGAAAGAGAGAAGGAAGGGAAAGAGAAGGAAGGAAGGAGGAAGGAGGGAAGGAAGGAAAAAGGGGGAAGGAAGGGAAGAGGAGGAGAAAAGGAGGGAAAGAAGGGAGGGAAAGGAAGAAGGAAAGAGAGAAGGAAAGAAAAGGGAGGAGGAAGGGAGGAGGAAAGAGGGAAGGAAGAAGGAGAAGGGAAGAGGGGAAGAGGAAAGAAAGGGAGGAAGGAAGGAGGGAGGAAGGAAAGAGAGAAGGAAGGAAAGGCAAAAAGGAAGGAAAGAAGAAAAGGGGAAAGGAGAAAGGGGGAAGGAGGGAAAAAGAGGAAGAGGAAAGACAAAAGGAAGGGAAGAAGGAGAAGAGAAGGAAGGAAGAAGAAGAGAGGGAAGGGAGGAAAGAAAAAA